GTTGAATCGTCGCAAGAAGAGAATGGTTTCACGTTGGTACAACATTTACGTAGAAGGGCTGGTCCACCGTCAAGCCCGATGGTCTTTGCGGCGAGCTGCTCCGGAGCTGAATCAGGAAGGAATCTGAAGAAAATCCCGGAGAATATTCATTGGAAGAATATTGAGATTTTGAATAGATTTGGAGAGTTGGATGAAGATACGGATTTACCTGATTTAAGGAAAGCTGCGAGATTGGGGAAGTGGATAAAGAGAATGTGAATATTCGAAGCAGTAAAGAGCAAGAAAAGAGTGCAGGAAAAGAGAATAACTTTTCGTTGGGAGAGAATTCGAAAGAAGGAAGGATGGGTTTAAAGGTGGGTAAAGGATAAACAGGCCAGTACCAAAAAGCCCACATATACTAATAAGGCTAAGGCAAAATATACAATAACTAAACCCATGTGTGGGTTAGTTTTTGGCCCAACTAGAGGTGCGATTAAGCTTTCAGAGTCGGGGAAAAGGCTCAGGGGGGAGATAGATAGTCCAGGGAGATCAGACAGTGTGTTTGTGAACGTCTCAGATGGAAAGATGGAAGGGAATGAGCTGATACTCGACCATCTGAGAGTGCCAGGGAAATCACCTATTCGACCGAGTAGAGTGGAGATGCAAGGAGTCTCAGAGAATGGCATGATTTCATCGGAAAAGGGGGCGGATTCAAGCAGCACATAACAGGGAGCCCCAATGTTCCAGTGGAAATTAATCGACAAAGATTCAAATAATTTTCTTCTTTTGTAATTACCGGGATGCGAATAAACCTAACTTTCGAAGATCTATTCGATACATGTTGAAGAAGTGGAAGACTGATATTTTAGCTCTGATTGAGACACTTGCGGGTGGTGATAGAGCAAGAAGTATTTGCCAAGGATTGGGATTCGAACAGTCATTTTGGGTCGATTCAGTGGAGGATTGCGGCTCTTGTAGAAAGCAGATATCGGAGATGTCACGGTTGTTCAGTCGGCTAGCCAGTACATTTATGCTAGAGTGGGGAACAGAGAGGATAATTTTCACTAGAATGTGATCTACGCTGCTCCTTTCATAAGTAGGAGAAGCGGGTTATAGGGGCAGTTGAGTAGAATAATCCAAGGATTAGATGGGCCAATAACAGTTAGAGGTGATTTTAACACAATTGTCTGGTTAGACTAGAGGACATGATGTAATGAGAGACTGTCTCTGGATTCATTAGCCTTCGGGAAATGGATGAATGAGCTCTCCCTGAGTAACATGGGGTTTACTGGTAATAAATTCACCTAGGAGAGAGGATGAGAGGAGAGATATTATGTAGCGAAGATGTTGGATCGAGTGCTTTGCAGTCCGTATTCGAGATTAAAGTGGCAGGAAGCGTATGTCACCCATCTGCCATTCTTGTCGTCGAATCATGCACCCTTATACATCAAACTGGAGCCAGGTGTGATGGGTAATCCGCGTAGAAGGCTGTTTCAATTTGAAGCAGCCTGGCTAAAGCACACGGGGTTTAAGGAGTTGCTGGTAAACTCGTGGAGTAGGGAGCTGAAAACGCCAGAGGCCTTAGAGATGCTAAAGGTGACACTTCAGAAGTGGAACCAGGAAGTTTTTGGTGATGTCCAGAAGCGTAAGGAGATGATACTAAATGAGATTAAGATGGTTCAAGATCTGCTGGAGCTGAATCAGTCAGATGATCTATTGCACAAGGAAGCTACCTTACTCAAATATTATGATGTTGTTCTTGAACAGGAAGAAGTACTATGGTTCCAGAAATCCCGAGAGAGGTGGATAGAACTGGGGAACCGAAATACTAAGTACTATCATACTACCACGATTGTAAGAAGGTGGAGAAATCGGATCGAAATATTGAAAGATGACTAAGGTAGATGAATATCTCAGCCAATAGAGCTAGATAAGTTGGCCATTGATTACTATACAAAGCTCTATTCGATTGATGATGTTGACCCGGTGGTGGATAGACTTCTACCATAAGGCTTTACAGCTTTAACCCGAGAGGATTTAGTAGACTTAAACAAACCTTTCTTGAAGATGGAAGTGGAATCCTCAGTATGGAGTATGGGGAAGTACAAAGCATCGGGGCCTGATGGATTTCAGTCAGTCTTCTACCAGGATTCTTGGGAGATGGTAGGATCTTTAGTAACTCGTTTCGTATTGGAATTCTTCAGAACTGGTAATCTCCCCAAAGGTTTGAATGATGCTATGGTGGTACTCATTGCAAAAGTGTTGAAGCCATAGAGAATTATGCAGTTCAGACCGATCAGCCTCTGTAATGTTTTGTTCAAAGCGATTACAAAAGCTATGGTGATGAGGCTAAAGCGAGTAATGCCGAAGTTGATTGGTCCAACACAATCGAGTTTCATTCCGGGTAAACTAAGTACAAACAACATTGTATTGGTACAAGAGGCAGTTCACTCGATGAGGCGTAAGAAGGGAAGGAGAGGGTGGATGCTGTTGAAGTTGGATCTGGAAAAAGCCTATGATCGCATAAGATAAGACTTTTTGGAAGACACCCTTCAAGCAGCGAAACTATCTGAGGCTTGGGTTCGGTGGATAATGCAATGTGTCTCGGGGCCAGCAATGAGTATCTTATGGAATGGAGAGAAGACGGAAACTTTCACTCCTCAACGCGGGATAAGACAGGGAGACCCTCTGTCCTCATACTTATTTATCATCTGCCTGGAAAGATTGTGTCACTTAGTGGAGCAGTCGATTGCCAAAAAAGAGTGGAAGCCTACCTGTATATCTCGTGGAAGCCCGCAGTTATCGCACATATGTTTTGCTGATGATTTGGTCTTTTTTGGAGAAGCATCAGTGGCACAAATTTGAGTAATTCAGAGGGTTTTGGAGAGGTTTTGCGCAACGTCATGGCAGAAGTTAAGCCTTGAGAAGTCAAAAATCTACTTCCCTGAGAATGTGAGCTGAGAGCTAGGGAAGCTGATTAGTGATGAAAGTGGCATTGCGTCTACTCGAGAGTTGGGAAGGTATCTCGGGATGCATGTTCTTTAAAAGCGTATTAACACTCACAAAGTTTAGGAAAAATAAAAAGTTTTCAAAAGACACAAAACAATATAAAACGTTTGTGTGATTGTTATTAAACATTAAAATTATATATGTATAAAAATATAATATTTATATAATGTATAAGAAAATTTATCAATACTTAAATATTACAACTAATTATGTCTATAAAAAAAATTTACTTGCACATACGTGCAGACCAAAAATAAAAATTAAATAAATTATTATATATTTTAATATTTTTTCATTTATTTAGTTATCATATTTATATTTTTTATCTAAAGAAATATTTTAAAATGTTTTTTTTCTTTATTTCTATTGAAATATATAATATATAATATTTTATATTTAATATATCGTTATTTTTTATTATTTATTTATTATTAATACATAATTCATCATGTTAACTATTATTTGAGAAGCATGTTTAATAAAAAAATCTGATGTGACATGACAAATTTTCTAAAATAAACGAAATGTTTTGATTGATTAAGTTAAAACTAAATAAATGTAATTTTTAAATAAAAATATTTAATATCATATATAAATGAATTCTGACTATATATCAAGAATTTGAAATTATAAATGAAAAAAAATAAACAGTGAGAAAAATAAATTATAAGTATCTTGTTAGCTATTTTTTATATTATTATATTGTATATATAAATAAAAAAGTAGATTCAAAAGTAAAAATTAATCTTTACAACTTTGATTTTATGTAAAAATATCAGGCTATATTTTAAGTCCTAAGAGCGGTGAGGTGGTTGGTACAGACGAATGTGCGGACCAACCATTTACCCGCTCTTAGGATAAATAAATATGGTAGAATTCATTTTGGTTTAATTAGCAATAAGTCAAGAAAAAATGTATACTTAAAATATATATATTGGCAAAATTATATTATGTAAAGAGAAAAAGAAAGCATTATATAGATAATATTCAAGATATATTATAAGAATTTAATTATTATTTATTATTACTTTTACATTTGCAATTATATGTTAATGTAAACGTTAAGAAAAATAAAAAGTTTTCAAAAGACACAAAATGATATGAAACGTTTGTGTGATTGTTGTTGAACACTAAAATTGTATATGTATAAAAACATAACATTTACATAATGTATAAAAAAATTAATTAATACTTAAATATTACAACTAATTATGTTTATAAAAAATTATACTTGCACATGTGTGAGAATCAAAAATAAAAATTAAATAAATTATTATTATATATTTGAATGCTTTCCCGTTTATTTAGTTATCATATTTATATTTATTATCCAAAGAAATATTTTAAAGTATTTTAAAATATTTTTTTATCTTCACTTTCTATTGAAATATATAATGTTTTATATTTAATTAATCGTTATTTTTTTATTATCAAATATTTATTATTTTATTATTAATACATAATTAATCATAAACAAATAAAACAGCTTTAATAGTATATTAATCATAACTGATCATATAAAACGTTTTATAGTCTGCACACGGTACATGCCGATCACCTAGTATATAAATAAAACATGTTTAATATTATATTAATTATAATTGAACATATAAAATGTTTTATAGCCTGCACAGTTTGTAAATAAGAAACTTAGTCTGCACACGGTACATGCCGATCACTTAGTATATAAATAAAACATGTTTAATATTATATTAATTATAATTGAACATATAAAATGTTTAATAGCCTGCACCGTTTGTAAATAAGAAACTTTTTTCGAGTGTTTTTAGAAATATACTTTCCAAATAATATCGTAAAGATATATGCGAATCATAATCTAATATAGTATAAAATCTTGTCCAATCTCTAAATTACTTGATATCCTTTGGAACCTTTTGATTAAAAATATCAGTGAACACCATTGAACAAAAGAGAAACCTTTATCTCTCAGATTTAGTTTTCTCTTTTTTACTCTCATCAACCCACTTTTGTTACAAAAACAAAATGAAAAACAGACAAAGAGTACTTGCTTAAGTGCTTAAGCTTAATGTCTTTTACTTTTTCTAAAATTTTGTACCTTTTGTCCTGTTGTCGCTTCTGTAACAACAATGGGGAAGCTAAACCCATGAGGATTATTTTTAAAAATACCCTCTAGGCTTCTGCAGCTGAAATCCCAGGTAAAACTAGATCCCAATCTAATAGAGAAACAATTCGGAAAATCAGAAAACAAAAAAGACAAAGATCTGAAATTTTCATTAAAAACCATATTTGTCTGATTGTCCCATTGCTGGAAATTAGCTGCAGAAGTACTAAAAAAAAATAGATCTATTGTGTTCATTTATTTAGGTTAATTTAAAAAAGAGAGACCTTTTTTGATCAGAGGATGAAAGAGGGGAAATTGAGGTCAAGGGTTTAATGGCAGGATGGTCAAGTTTCAATAACGGTTCATGTTCATACATTGATGTTGAGATTGAGGTGGTTGATGAATGTGAGGTTAGGTTAAAGAGATTGTTTGATCAAGCTCTGTTGATTTTTCTTGAGGAAGAGGGAAAGAGTAGGCCTCTCCCTGCGGTTCTCGGTGAGGGCAAGAAGGTTGATTTGTTTAAGCTCTTTCTGTTGGTGAGGGAGAGGGAAGGGTTTGATTCTGTGTCTAGTAAAGGGCTGTGGGAATCAGTGGTTGAGAAATTAGGGTTGGATTGCTCTGTCTCTCCATCTCTGAGGTTGATCTACTCAAAGTATCTGGCACGGATGGAGAAATGGGCGGTGGAGAAATCGAGGGCTGTGAGTTGGGATACTCGAGATGGTAACAAGAAAGGGTGTCATGAAGGTATGTTGCATGAGCTTGGGGATGGATTCAAGGGCTTGTTGGAAAATGGAAACTGTCGGAAACGTAACAGAGGTTTGGTTTTCGGTTGTAACCATGTTGAAGAGTCTGGTTCGGAGTTTGAAAGGTCTAGCAAGAGACTTGTAGATTGTGGTCTTGAAGATGATGAAGAAGAAGTTGGAATGTCTTGTGATGACGAAGAAGAAGAAGAAGATTTGGATTTGTCATTGGAAAAGGAAGAGACTTTACAGGGAATGTTGAAGTGGCTTACTTCGGTCGCTACATGTCCTCATAATCCAACCATTGGAGTAATACCTCACTGGTTAAAATGGAAGGAGTGTGCCGGAAAAAACGAGTGTTGGATCAAAGTGGCTAGAGCGAAGAATGCTTTACTGGTTCAAAGAGACAATTCCGATATCAGATTTCAGAATTCTCCACTTCTACTGGTACTACTGTCTTGAGAAAAAAAAGCTTTAATCTTACTCTTTGTCTCTCGTATGCTTTGGTTCTTGTTAATTCATGATAAGCACTTGCAGGGTCACCAAACTATTCATCATTCTATGTATGAAGACGATCGTAAATCAACAGGGAGGTTAAGATACAGCATAAGGCGTACACATTTATCCAGACCATGTTCTTCTTCCTCGTATACCAATGGAAGTCCGGTCTCCAATGAAAGAACAGACCTTATAGCAGGAACATCTAGAACCAGAACAGATCTTGTTGCAGGAACATCTGGAGCAGCAGACTTACAAGTGTACTCAAATGCAATCACAGAGCCAAACAAACCAGAGTTCCCGAGAAGGTACGTGGCTGTTGGACGTCATTACCAAGCCCGAGTCGATGAATGGACAGGATCCGGTTTAGACAGCGACACTAAATGGTTAGGAACTCGTATATGGCCATTAGTGAATGAAGAAGCGTTAGATCATAGAACTGATTTGATTGGAAAAGGAAGGCCAGATTGTTGCAGCTGTGATATCCTTCTCTCCGGTTACGTTGAGTGCATTAGATTCCACATTGCAGAGAAGAGAATGGAGCTTAAACGTGATCTTGGCGATGTGTTTTTCCATTGGAGATTCAATCAAATGGGAGAAGAAGTGTCTCTAAGATGGTCAGAGTCAGAAGAGAAGAAGTTTAAGAAGCTGATGGTTTCAGATCCTGAGTCTTTTTGGAAAAATGCGGTGAAGTGTTTCCGAGGGAAGAAGAGAGAGCAGCTAGTGAGTTATTACTTCAATGTGTTCTTGATTAACCGGAGACGGTATCAGAACCGTGTGACTCCGAGACATATTGATAGTGATGATGAAGGAGCTTTTGGTTCTGTGGGTAACGGTTTTGGTCGTGATGCTGTTTCTTCGTTTGGTTCAGATATTATGATATGTTCTATGAACACTCAGTGTGATGATGACTTTGAGTGAAAGAAGCAGAAGATTGGAATATAAAACGTTTAACTCATAGTTTCTCTTTGTGGAAGAAGTATAGGAGAAGTTTGTAGTTTTTTTTTTTGTGACTTTGAAAAACCAATGACTAGCAAATTAAATTTGGTACCTTTTGGAACAAAATCGACTCTTATTAGTTTTTCAAAGAGTTGTTTTTAAATTTTTTTTTTATCTTTTGGATACATTTTTTAAAAATTCATTCTTCAATTTTCAAAGAGTCACATACATTGTAATTTAATTTAATTTCTCTCTCGTTTTCCAAAATATTCGTACTCGGTCAATATAATAAAAACACAATTTATTAAATATGTGCATTAACCCGCACAGAAAACAAAAAAACATATCCCTAAATATATATGCATGGTTAATCGTTAGAACTCAACAGTCAAGATATAGTGTGATTTATATATGTTACAAGTATTTGGAGATGAAGAAGCTTCTCAAAGTTATGTTCTTCTTGTTCGCTTACTTGACGTGTTCAATGGCAATGGTACCGTACCGTGGTTGCGACGAGATCGGAGTAGTTTCGAGAGATGGATCGGGAAAGTACGAGAAGAGAGTGTCGAAGAAGGATTTTCATTCGGGTCGTAAGTTAGTTTCTGGTCCGAGTCGTAGTGCTTGCGGTCACTAATAGTCTGGATAGTAAAATTTAATAATAATAATAAGATCTTTTTCATTACAATTCTCTGGTATGTGTTTATTTCGTCTTAAGAATTATGAATATTGTGTAATGAGTTTTGACGTTGTACCTAATGAAATAATTTGCTTGCAAATTACAATATTGATCTATTGTAATTTGGTTATTTTGTTCATTTTATATACACTTGAATCTTTGTATATTTATAAGATTCAAAAGGTCGAAACTGCCTATTATTATCCTTAATATTCTTTCTGTTTATCTGCTTTTCCTTTAAAAAAAATGCCTCTTATTGATCCATAATAATTAGAAATGCTCATTTTCACTTTCCAATTGGATGTGACAACAACTACTCAATTTTTTATTTGATTTTTTTTGTCTAATATTATCTGCAAATTTATAATTACAATTATATAAAGTGTGATTGGGTAGAAGAACAATGCAACTTTAAATTACTAGAGAAAATCCACAAATGTAGAATCCAAAATCATTCAGCGTGTAACTGTTCTTCTCCTCTTTCATATATCATTTACTATTTGTATATTCGTATACTCTAGTATATCGTTAGTTTCTTTTGCTTGTATCTATATGACTATATCTTATGTATAATACAGAGGCTACAAGTCGATGAATGAAAATGATCACAAATTCCCTAGCCTTCTTAATCTTGTTTAACATGCTTAATCATTAAAACTCAATAGTTATCACAAAGTTATTTGATATTCTATTCGTTTCAAAATAAATGTCATTCTGAAGTTTTATTTTGTTTCATGAAAAGTGTCACTTTACATTTTTAATGTATAATTTTGAATAAATATTTCAGATTTAACTTTTAAATTTTATTGTTTTAATTGAAAAAATGATATTATGTATGTGAACAAAGAATAAAATAGAATTTTTAATAATTTTCTTAATTTGTGTAAAAAGTCATAAAGTGATAGTATTTATTTTGAAAGATGAAGAAGTTTCGTTCTCTTCTTCTGCTTGATAACGGCAGTTAATGAGTTCTCATTAAGGGACAAAACTCCTATATATATATTTGTTGTTGATCCTTAGTCAAATGGCCCGTATAGCTCAGTGGTAGAGCGTCAGTCTTGTAAACTGAAGGTCCGTAGTTCGATCCTGCGTGTGGGCACTTTTTGGAAAAAATAATTAATTTTACTGTTTTTGAAAATGTAAAGGCAGGCTTTGATTCAGCACTGGACTCTATACAAGAATCGAATTTTCACCATGCTTTTGTTGCAATACTCATTGAAGTTCGATGATTATCTTCTTTTGGCTACCAAATTTAATACAAGATAAAAATATTAGCCATACATTGATTAAAGATGTTTCCTTTTTCTCTCCGAATTGTACATTCTTAAAAAAAAATATTACATGGTTTTGGAATTGAAACTACAAATGCAATAACACAGAACACAAAATGTTTACCATTATTAATCCAAGCCCAAGATGAACCGTTTCATCAGATTACTCTCCAAGAACCAATCATCGAATGCTGAAGAATCAAAATCTATAAATTGATCAAAATCCATCTCTTGATCCAAACTTTATAGACCGAGTAGTCTGGTCTAATGTTAGTAAAGATTCTGGTGAAAGTGGCTTATTATTTGAGGTTTGGTATTGTGATGGAATGCAAGTTGATACAAGAATACATAGTCACAAACAGCTCAAGAGAAGTTTCAAAATAGGAAAGTCTGGACAGAGACATACTCGAGCTTATCTTCATTAAGCTCGACATAAAGGAGCTTCAAGCGTCTGCATCTCTTGGTGCCTTGCCTCTCACAACAAAACCCTGTGGAACACCGTTGAATTTGACAAGCTCAAACAAGTAGACGAAGGCCTAAACCGTAGGAATGTTGTGAACAAGATCATCAAGTTCTTATTTGACATTTGTGAAGTCTGCAAAAGTCTCACATATATCACTAACTTTAGCCGTACGGCACCTAAGAATTTGTTCTTTAGCTTTATTTTTTTTTTAAATATATCATTTACAAGTGCTAAATTTTCAAATATATAAAAGTATATTATTTAACACTGGTCCGTACAAGAAACCAAACTCCTGTCTTTGCAAAACCCTAAATTTGAGTTGTGTACAATTAGCAAAGATTTGACGAATGATGAGAGGGACTGCGCGAACGCAAGTCCCCACGGCAACAAATTACGACGCAGGCTCTACCACTTGGGCAGACCTTAGGCTTAAGCACCCTTCCGTAAAGGTGCAATGGAAGTCACTAGCCTAGGCCACAGTTCTTCTTGATCAACCGTTGACCCCGTCCAGGTAAGTAATTTTCAAAGTGAAACATTCATTTTATTTTGTAAGCATATCGAACGTGAATCAAGAAGCGAGCTTACGATGTGGGATTATTGTTTTAAGAGATGCAAGTAATTAATGACCATGGGCCGTGCAGAGCGATGAAGGCCTAAAGAAGCCCATTAAATTTTATTACAATCCAGCCATCAAATGATCTGTCACCAATTTGTTATAACCTTTTTGAAGATGAAGTTACCTTATTCAAGACGTGTTTCTTGTTGTAAAAGAATGTATCTATATATGTAATACAAGTAACAAGAAAGTGTTTCTTGTTGTATAAGAATGTATCTGTATATGTAATATACAAGTAACAAGATGCAAGAGAAGATCTTTTTGACACATCCTATGGATTGAATACAGTTTCAGTATGACAGTATCAAGAATAGACCTGCGTGTGGACTGGGAGGCAATATCCGGGAACTCGAGGCACAGGTAAAGTGGTTGTGTAATTATTAGTGAGCATCAAGATGATCTCTGGTAACAATGGACGATCTGCAGGATTTTCTTGAACACATAAAAGTGTGATATGAATGCATCTAATAGCCTCATTACTCTCATTGCTCTCTCCTAATGTCGGATCCACTAGTTCTAATCGTGATCCATTTCTCCAAAGCCTCCAAGCCTTAACGCCAAGTGACCACTTAAATAAATATTTGTTGGCATAATAATCATACATACATGTAATATGAAAGATTAAATACTAGTTACTCACTTGGTGACCAAATTGCTACCAGAATCATCAATATTGTAGAAGCTGCTGTTCCTATTTCCACTTACAATCTCCAGAATCATATAACTCCAAAGTTATAGGCATCAGATTTCATGGAGAAGTGTCCACGCAATGCATATTCTGGAGACATGTAACCACTACAACATAAAGAAACAGTTGCTTAGCATACAAGCAATTACCATATTTTCTTTAGATTAGTCAAAGAGAAAAAGTTTACTATGTTCCAACGATTATTCTTGTGTTGGCTTCACTTTGATCAACTCCAAAACTCCTCGCTGTGCCAAAATCTGCTATTTTGGGGTTCATATCAGCATTAAGAGAATGTTACTCGCTTTGAGATCATGGTGTGTAATTGTAGGACGTGAATCATGATGAAGACATAGAATCCTTCGAGCAATCCCTCCAATAATGTTGTACCGCCTTGTCCAGTCTAGGTGGATATACAGTGTAATATGAGGATGGTGCGCAAAAACGCGGCGTTTAGGGAACCGTACGAAGGAGATGAAGTAAATGCCATTAATGTGGTGTCTTTTCAAATGTATTGCGCATTTGGTGTGTGTGTTCTGGTACATATATACGTTTGGTATATATAGAAGTTATGTGGCGTAAAAGGCCAATTTTTAGTGTGATGTAATTTATAATATCCGGTAGATAAGACAAGCTGGATATGAGATGCTTTTAAGATAAGATTAATGATCATGTTATAATCATTTTCTCTTGTTATTATTTCATCGATTCATCATTTTTTTTTTGGTTTTAATGTTGAGACCGATTCATCATTTGCCATCTCTTCGTTTTCATGATATATCCAACAAAATAGAGCTCTACATGCAATAATATACTTTGTGATATATAGGAGACCACAATCAAAAACCAAAACTAGTTTCATATTTTATAATTCCTATTTAAAATCTTTGTAATAACAAAAAAAATGCTCAGCCGTAGATCAAACATAACAATGGCCACATAATTATTGACACCTGATAATAATTCAAGTTTTTTTTTTGCACAAAGGTTGTAATAATTCATAAGAATTTAAGATTTGTTCCTTTGTATTTGTTTTATTCATTCTTCACGTTCTATTTAATGTGTAATCACGTTGGCACCGTCAAAAGCCCTAGATTATTGTGTAGTCTGAAGGAATGTCTTAATATGTTTCCAATCTGACGAGTAACATATCTATAGATTGTTGTGTTATAAAAAATTACACGGTTGGTCATACGGTGGCACCGTCAAATGCCCTAGATTCCCTCTTACATCGGGAACAGCTGATTGTCGTTGAAAGTTCTCTGCATCTGAGTTTAAAAGCTCTAAGATCTTGGGAAATAATTCAGTTTCAAACTTATCAATAGTGTACTTAGTTGCCACACATGCAGGCCTCTGGAAAGCTGTTTCCACAATTGCTAGAATCCGAGTGCTGCACATTGCAGAAGCCGAAATCAAGAGCTGGCCTTCTTGGACAATACCATATACAACATTTTTCATCTGGAAACTTGGTGAGAAAGGCTACAGTATTTGCCATATTCAGAGCTGGATATAAAAACTGAGAATATATGTCAGACATTGCAAAAGATTAATAAAATAGCATCAAAACAGCCTAACATAGCCTTATCAAATTCCCAGAAAAACAACAATCATATCCTTGTACATATCTATTCGAAAATCAGAGCAAGATGACACACTTTCCAGATCGAACACTATCTTTGTCCTAGTACTTTTCGTAAAGCTATCTCAGCTTCAAATCACACAGCTCCAAACAGAGTTCAGTAGATAAGAATGCAAAATAACAACGCACACCAAGTCACTGGTTGCTAATATAGCATAATAATATTCTGAATAGCGAGTAGATTTCTCGGCTATAGCAACACAAGTTTGCTACAGATTGCTAAAGCACTACAACGCAGACACTAAGTTATAATCAGTGTCTGTCCAACAATTTTTGGTGCCCTACACAAATCTAAAAAATATATCTTTTATATATTATATTTAAAACTATAAAAGTATTAATATAAAACATTACGGTTAAACTTTATAAAATAATATTAATTCCGAACAAACAATCCCAATTTATAAACAGTTTATAAGGAAAAAAACAGAAAATACATATTGTTGAAAGATATTGTTTTTACAGTTATGCCTGTAAAATCATTTCTTAAACTCACTAATCGATAACTTCAAATGTTCATCGTTTCAGTAAGATAATTTTATACAAATTTTTTTATTAATTTATCTCATTTTATAAAATATAAATGAAACAAAAATCAACATTTTTTCATCGAACTTAAATATTGTCAAAAACTGATAAATTTATAGTTATAATTTGTTTTTCTCTCATCAATCCAAAAAAATTAAAAATACCAAAAATCTTAAAAATAAGTCAATAACTCACACATGTGACAATAACAAAACTATGATTATGATATTGAAAATATAAATAATATTATTGTTAAAAATGCTTGAATCTTTATTTATATGTAAACATATTAAAAAAATTATGTCCCTGGTTATAATGGATGAGAATCAATTAGAATGACAAATTTACAACCCAGATAAACAGCACTCATATCATTGTATAACTATTTGAAATACCAGAACAAGATGACGACACCCTTTCCAGATTTTTTGCAACTCGGTCGTCCATTCGATACACCACTTTGCCTTGGCTCGGTAACCATACAAGATCCGCAAACTCATGTATTCCCCCAAATATCGGGTCTTGATCATCAAAATCCAAATCGTCTTTCATCAAATACGTCAACGATCTTTTGAACATCGGTTGCAATTCAAAAGTAACCTTTCCAAAAAAATAATAATATTTACGACGGTATAATTGTAATTAGAAAGGGTTAGAAATCTATAAAGTATATGATACTTTTATTTTAGTAAAACCAAAAAAACACAAAATTTGAAACCGATATAACCTGAGATATAACGCCGAGAACGCCAAGAGAAACCCTAGCCGCGTTAAACTCGTTAGGAGTCGTAGTCTCGCTTAAAACTCTAACCTTTGCAAACCCATCGTTGGCCGAGCCAGGAGTAACCATCCTAATTTCCGTCACATAATCATGGACCGCACTTCCTTTACCTCGCAATGAGCTCCCATGAGCACCGGTTCCCATCATACCACCCACGGTTAGTCCCCACCAGTACGGTGCATAAGGCAACGCCAATCCAACTTTAGCAGATTCATCGATAAACTGCCTAAGCGTCATGCCACTTTCAACCGTCAAGGTCATGGCCGTTGCATCTGACTGCACCATGTGGTTTAGAAACTTGGTGCTTATGAACAATCCGTCAGTTCCGTCCGTGCATTCGAGGGTAGGGATGCTGTTGAGGTTCAAGAGGCTCAAAGACGTTTCCTTTAAGAGCATAGAACAACAGTAAACCAAGTTTGAAGTATCTTGAAGAATAAAAACAGAGGCCAAAACAGAGAAGTTGCAGAAAAACAGAGTATGAGAGAAAGGAGAGAAGAAAAAGAAGAATAAGGGAGCGCACGCACAATTTAAGGAATTCACGCCCATTAATTAACGAGGGTCGCTACACCTCCCGAGCTTTGCTCGGAAGCCACTAGCTTCTCTGAAAGATTACAAATACAGAGATAAACAAGCGATCGGCTCTAAAGCCCTTCACTAGCTACTTAGAACTTACTCTGTTCTATCTCTTGTAATTAGAGAAAACGAAGACAAAGCTTAAACTAAACTGTTTTCTCTCTACTCTCACTTTTGGCTACATTGTGTATCTTCTCCCTTAGCTCTCTCTCTCTCTCTCTCTCTCTCTCTCTCTCTCTCTAACATGATACCCTTTTATACTCAAATCACCTTAGGGTTTCTTGTGCAAAGACAAACCACAACTAACACACTTCAAACGCTAAAAATGTCTCCTTGAGGTGCGATTGCTTCAGCCAAACGTGACTTTCCCATTTTGAACACAAGCAAACAAAATGTCCCAAAAGCAACTCAACCATGATAAAATAAATAACCATCTTAGTCAGACTTCTTATGGTCCCAAGCTTGTTCAAAACGTGTCTACTTGTTCATCAAGTTATCACAATCTTCACAGATGCTATGGGAATATCGAGTGGTTACACGCATTTTTCGTCCGGCTTTAGTGGCTGCTGCGACGATAGAGACGAGCTCGGCTTCACTTGTTGGGTAAGCCACGTTGGCAGCTCGACACGTGGACCGGTCTGGGAAAACTCCGTATGAGTTTTTGACGCTACAATCCGTGTTTCCTGACATACATCTGACGGGATCTTCCGGAGGTGTTGAGAGCGCTGTATGCACAAGTGTAAATATACAATGTAACCCGAGAACAATCCGCCAAAACGTAGCGTTTTGGAAACCATGCCAAGGAGTATATATGACCAAATGCCATTTTTGTTGTTGTTTAAGTTTAGTTGAATATTTTTAAATGAATTGCGAATGGTATCGTTGGTATAAATAGAGGCTAAGTGGTGTAAAAGGCTGGCTCAATGCCATTTAAATATTATATCTGTATCAACTGAGGTATGGACTTCATTCTTCAGTTATGCGTCACTAGCTCCACCATCTTGATTAGGGAACATGGATCATGGATGTATGAATAAAAGTGTTCGGAAAAGTTACTAAAATATTGCAAATATAGCATCTAGTCCCATATTTGATCATGTATTTAATTTTACGATAATTTTCTTGAGAAACAGCCATAACTTATAATGGTTAAATGTTTATTGCAGAATTTGTAAAAACTATTTTCATGTCTTAAGAAAGTTGCAATTTGGTAGACCAAAATTTTCAACTGCAGTATACGAAAAATTCGTAATATAATTGTAGGTGTTATTCATTATTGCAACTAAAAAAATATTTCAAACTTCTAGCAAAAATGAACTGTTGCAATAATATATATATATATATATATATATTTTTTTTTTTTGTAGTGATCATCACTTGCCTTCATAAGGCTTCAGAACTTCAACAAAAATCCAATTTTTATTGCAGCCGGACATTCAATAAAATTATTATAACAGCATAAAGATATATGTAACTTATGATAATATATATTAACACACATAAATAACCGCTTTCTTATATAAGAAGCAATCTATTATATAAAAACTAAGTTGTGTCTTACAAGAAAATGACACCTCAACACTCATCTATCTGACATATCATCACAACAAAATTGATTTTAAAAAAAAATTTCGATAAAATAAATTAAGTCAAACAGAAATAATTATTCCCAAAGCATTTCCTCCAAACTTTAATCACTCTTTTCTTTCCCATGAAAAAATTCTTTAATTGAAATCCAAAGACCAGAAATCGTATATTTACGAGAAAGAGAGTTGAAAAATTCTGTAAGTTTTAATCAAATCTCTTTATTCTCGATCTTGCTCGATTTCTTTCTTTTGAGAAATTAATTTCTTCTTCGCCGATGGGATAAAGGAGAAGTCTCTCTGCAGGAGGCTGCAAATCGAGAGTTTTGGATTTTAATCGGAAGATGTGGAGAGTCCAGGCTGAGTTTACTTCTTCCATCTCCGATCTCCATTCTCTCTTTCTAATCAAAAAATTCCAGCTTCCATGGAATCTCTATAAGGTACTTAATTCCCCGTTTTCTCGGGATTGATTTTTGCCTCAGGACTCACTAATTTTTCAATCGGGATTGTAAACCTGAATCGATTGTCTCTGCTTTTGTGTATTAGCTGAAATCGTCTAAACCAGTGAATTCGTAAGAGAAGATCTGAAGCTTGTGTGTAGTTACTCCATTTTGCTGCAAAATTAATGAGACTGCTGCGGTTTTGCTTTCGAATTTGCATAGTGGAAGTGATGTTGAAGAGCTTTGTTGGCCAAGCCAGATTCTATGTTCGATCGTGCCTCTCGTGTGTTGATGTCTGCGAAAGAGCAGCTAAGTATGCGTTGGTGTTGCCTTTGATACTCAGGAAAGAAGGGATCAATAACTTCATATGTCAGGTGGTTTCAAGGGTTTTGAAAGAATGCTGGCACTTGGGTCATGTTTCTGCCTTTTGCCAGAAGTTACTTTGTGGAAGAACAGAAGAGAAGAGGTTTCTGTTCCTTCCCTTTCACCGAGATCTTATCTCTGATGATCTAACATGGAACGATTCATGACGTCCCTTTAACCCAAGGTTCCGTTGATTGTCTTGTTTCCACGGTTCAGGAGTTGGTGGAAAAGTATTCCAAATCTCTAAAACCAATAACTTTAGGCTTATGTTGTGACTCCTCTGCTTTTATATCCGATGAGATGATCTTAACTGAGTTTAATACTCTCTGTGTAGGGGAAACACAAATGACAGTGAACAACCAGATTGTTGTCGGTACTCTGATGAATCTTGCGGACAATCCTACAAGGGTGATTGTGGGACAAGACTGGAGAGAAGCTGATGTTGTAAACAGAGTTCCTCTCATTGGCACAGGGAACGATTTCTCCAGGCTCTATGCTCCACTGATCCGTGAAGGAAGAATGGAGAAGTTCTACTGGTAATAAATCCACACAGATTTGCTTTTCATTTTCCTGCAACTATTAGATCTTTCCTGATTCTGAAAAAAAAACTCAAGTGTTTGATGTTCAAAAACAGGCAGCCAACTCGTGAAGGCATCGCTAACATTGTTAGCAGAATGTACGAGAAAGATGGGATATCGCGGAAAGATGTTGTAAGCATTGTTGATAAGTTTCCAAATCGAGGTAATATATTTACTATCTCAATGAGGAGCACGAAGCTGCAATGTGAAGCTTTTCCTTACCCCTTCATTATTTATTGCAGCACTTGACTTCTATGGAGCTCTGAGGTCACGTACATATGATAGATCTATCCTCAAGGTAACTTAACGTCAGCAGCCATGAACAAACCATCTGTTACAGATAGGATCTCTGCAGTGAAATGGCCAATCTCTTTGTTGTAACAGTGGGTAGATGATGCTGGAGGAATAGAGACTCTAGGGAAAACTCTTCTCAGGCGTAAAAAGACCGAAGAAGTTCCTCAATTCATTCCCCCTGAGGTATAAATGCCATAATAGGCTTCACAGTGATCTCTCTCTGATACTCTTAGATTTTGTTCCAGTTGAGATCCTATGAAGGGTTTGTTTCTTATGATGATATTGATTGGTGTGAACAGCAAACAGTGGAACAAAAACTCATCATCGAAACAAAGCTTTCCAAGGAGTACATGAAGAACATTGATCATTAAATACCAAACAAACATTGATTTTTTTTTTCATTCTTAAAGTCTACTGATAAGTTGTTAAAAAAAAGCTTAAATACATAACTGAATCGCTCAATAGAATTTTTTTTTACCAACCCCACGAGAATGGAACCTAAAGCCGATATGGTGCCAATACATTAGATGTGAATGCATCTTCACAGAACATGCAAATGCATATACACAGTTTACATAAAAACAGCAACCATTTTTACCTTAAGAATAACTAAGCGCATAACAAAAGCCACTCCCTTTGTACTTTGCTACACACATTAAGATCTTCAGTCTGGCCTGTGACAAATGAAATGACGGATTATATCAGAACTATATGATATATCTGAATGTACAAAGAAAAGAATATGATCATAGAGAAGTGAAGTTGTAGATTTTTGGCTTGGCATATGATCTCTTTATCCTCCGAGGAATGAAGTTGTATTTACGATTTATATAGTACTCATATAAGAGCAGATGTTTTCTTTCGTGGTTTTCATAACACATTTCTTCTTTCTTCGCTTTTACAACATATGTATTGTTTTTTCCTTAGAAAACATCTCTTTATTTTTTATTAACACATCAATGCATTTTTATTTAAGAAATTCACATATAATATGAACATTTATATCTCTTTTATTACTAAGTTCAATCTTAAAACATTTTATAAAATAAACAAGGTTCATTACATCCTTAGTAATATTAATATATTAAAAAGGTATTCTAAATATTTTACTGCTGGAGAAAAAAATGAAGAAGACTAATCGGTTAAAGGAGAAAAATTATGTATGTATCTATAATTGTAATGAGAAAAACTATAACAAATATATTAATTTCTAATTTTCAATAACATCACTGCTTCTTTCTATTTTCAGGGCAAATGTATTAACAGTGTCTGGCTGAAGTTATAGATTTCGAAGTTTTTTTTATCTACCATAAAGTTCTTTGGTTATTTTAAAAGAAACAAAATATTTATGCTATTTTTGTTTTTATAAACATCTAAAAATACAATAAATATTTAAATATTTGAAAGTAAGAAAAACAATAAACATAAAAATAAATTACTATGAAACAGATATATAATTACTTAAAATATTATATTGATTATTATTTCAAAAATATATAACAAAATATATACCCGTGTGTATACGCGGGTCATCACCTAGTGAAGATTAATAATAATGCTGAGTGAACAACATTTATGCCACTGACACGTGTACAAACCCTAGCCTCTTTGTAAACTTTTCCCGGTCGACACAAATAGCCTCTGGTCGGAGCACAATGAGCATCCTCCGAACAAATACACAATCCCTCCAATGCACATCCATCTTTTACAATCGTCGCGTTTCCTTTTATCCCTAGGATTTGATTCGTCCACTCGCTCGAGAATAAACCGGTCGGATCAAAACTCTCTTTCACTTTTAAGAACATCGGTGCGTTTTTGTACTTTCTATATACTCCATCAAATGCTAAGTTTCTGTTTTTACCCCAATGTGGCAATGCGTTATACTTGAACAATGCAATCTGCTCGATTTCTTCGATGAAATCCTCGTAGAGTCGCGGTGTTAGTGGGTCGTTGGCTCGGTAGTATGTTATGTTAAAATCGAGCGCTTCTGTTTCTTTCCCAAGATAAGCCGGAGAAGATGTGACATAACGCATCAAAATACCATAATGGAGCTCAAGGCCGCATAGAGATTTCGGTTCGATTTTAACAAGAGATTTAATGTCGTTAATAAAACTTTTGACTTGCGTGAGAGAAACACTAAAATTTGTTTGATGAAAAAATTCGCCTTTTATACGCGAGTCCCACGCACACGCCGTGATTAATCCATCTTGAAGGCTATCTAGACATGATCCTGACGACATCATACGGTTTTGACATCCAATGACCGGATAACTAAAAAACTATTAACTCAATAAATATGAATATTTTTCTATTTGACATTTATTTCTCTAAGCTAGTACATTTATTTAGCATATTAACTTTTATGTTGCCGATACTCCCTGAGGATCTTCTCTCTCAGATCAGGTATTGATCTCTCACTCTCTAGTAGCTCTCTCTTTCTCACTCGAATGATTACTTCGCACGCAAGAAAAGGAAAAATGACACACGAGATTATAGAGTTCCCCTAAACCGGATACAGTTTTTTTTCAGGATCTGACTCCTGGAATTTACTATCTCTTCGTGTTTACAGAATTATAGAGCTTAGAGCTTACAACAATGGAGGTCAAAGAACGGATCAAACAAGAAGAAAGGTGCCTTGACTGTAACAACCTTTCTCTACCTTATTCACATATATATACTCTGCTATTGGGCCTAACTAACTTCACCGACCCAACACTTCAACAGATATAACGCTCCTCACCGACTTGGGCTTAGCTCCTAAAGCCCAACTGCTCAGCTCACTCCACACGACGCCGTCTTGGACTTAGACGAACCAGCTCGAGTTAGAACCAATCATCACAAACTCCACCTTGGTTCTCACTCGCTCTTCCTTTGCATGTCGAAACCCGACAAGCATCATGAATTCCGATCCTGGAATCCGGCGAAGATCCAGACTTGATCCACCGCCAACAACCTTCTCGACTCCTGAGAAGTGGCTGCTCCGCTTCAATTTCAATCACCATGAAGCTCCATCTGATGTCAAGACTCTGAACATCAGAACTCAATCGTCACCTCTGCAGCCACCTGAGATGACGACGCCGACAAAGCCCTTAGGCTTCAATCACCTTCAACGACCGCTGAATTTCTCTCCAGGTAAGACTTTCGTCAACATATCAGCCGGATTCACCAACGTGTGAATTTTCATCACTTTTACTTCACCTGAATCAACGACATCCCTGATATAATTGTACTTTACCTGGATGTGTTTCGTCTTTTCATGAAACATATGGTTTTTAGCTAGATAGATTGCACTTTGTGAGTCGCAGTGAATCTCCACTGAATCCTGTTTGAATCCCATTTCTTCGCAAATGCCTTTGAGCCATACTGCTTCTCTGCTAGCTTCTGACAACGAGATGTATTCTGCTTCTGTTATAGATAACGCCACCACCTTCTGTAAGCAAGATCTCTAGCTCACGGTGTTACCTCCCATGGTGAACACAAAACCAGTGATGGACCTCCTTTTGTCTAGATCCGAAGCATAGTCGGAGTCGCAATACCCCTTGATCTTGAAGTCTGGCTCCTTCGTGAAAGTTAAGCACACCCCTGAGGCTCCCTTTAGATACTTCATGATCCACTGAACCACTAACCAGTGATCTCTTGCAGGTCTTCCCATATATCTGCTCACCAGTCCCACGGCGTAGGCAAGATCTGGTCTGGATCCTACCATGGCGTACATCAGACTCCCAACAGCACTTGTGTAAGGTATGTCTTCCATCTCCCTTGCTCGATCACTCTCTTGTTCATCAGCCACTTCTTTAGTTTAAACTGTGAACCTATAGGAGTCTGAACTTCTCTACAATCCCACATGCCAAATGTTTTAAGCACTTGTTATAGATAGCTCTCTTGAGATAGCACCAACGTACCCTTTTCTCTGTCCCTGAAGATGTCCATACCCAAAATTCTTCTCGCTGGACCTAAGTCCTTCATCCCGAACTCCGAGTTTAACAACTTCTTTAGAGCTTGAACTTTGGTTTTACTCTTCGAGGCCACTAACATATCATCCACATATAGGAGTAGATAAACCATATCCTCAACTGTAGAGCCCTTTTGGTAGACACACGGATCAAACTCGCTGCGTTTGTAGTTCTGCTTACTCATAAACTGATCAAACCTGTGATTCCATTCTCTTGGTGACTGCTTTAGGCCGTATAGGGACTTCTTCAATATGCAAAATTTGTCCTCTTGTCCCTTCTTAACAAACCCCTCAGGTTGGCTCATGTAGATTGTCTCGTGTAGAACTCCCTGTAGAAAAGCTGTCCTGACATCTAGCTGTTCTAGTTTCATGTCATGGTTCACCACTGCTGATAACAATAGTCTAATTGACATGTGCTTCACAATCGGAGCAAACACCTCATTGTAGCCAACTCCTTCTACTTGAGCGAACCCATTTGCCACCAATCTAGCTTTGTATCTAGGTTCTTCAACCCCTGGAATCCCCGGTTTTAGCTTGAATACCCATTTGCATCCTATCACCTTTTGATTCTTTGGTTTATCAGCTCATACCCAAGTGTGATTCTTGTATAACGAGTCCATTTCTTCGTTTTCAGCTTCACCCCACTTTTCTGAGTCCTTACTGCACTTTGCTTCATCAAAAGTCTTCGGCTCATCGATGTTTATGGCGCATGCACTGGTGAGAGCATACGCTACCAGGTTTCCCTCTCGAAACCTCGCAGGTTTGACTATTTCCTTTCCAAGTCGATTTATGTATCCTTTTGGTTCATCTTGGTCTTCATCTTGTGTATCCTGATCCTCACTGTCCTCTTGTTCTGTCTGATAAACAGATTCTTCCTCTGAAGAGCTCACATGTTCCTCATTCTCTGTTTTAGACTTCGAACTGACTCCACCAAGACTCGAAGTCTCTCCGGATGTTGACCGCGACGGCTCCACCTTTGTCAAATTCTCCTTAAAGGTAACCCGTTTATTTTGTTTCCCTTCTAGGACCCCTTTGGTGGTTTCTATTGCCACAACATCCCTCTCTATGTACATAAGATCTTCCTGAAACACCACATCTTTGCTGATAGTTACTTTCTGCTCGTCAAGTAACCAGACCCTGAACCCTTTAGTGCCTAGTGTATAACCAACAAAGACTCCCTTTATAGCTCTAGGACTTATCTTATCAGCTATAGTGTGCACATAAGCTAAGCACCCAAACCTCCTTAGATGTCCATACTCTGGTTTTCCTCCTGTCCATAATGCCTCTGGAACCTCAAAATCAATTGACGACGACGGTGACCTGTTGATGATGTATACTGCCTTTGATGCAGCCTCAGCCAAAAACTCACCACTCAGACCAGTCTCGAATAGCATACTTCTGACCTTGTCCATGATTGACCTGTTCATCCTTTCTGATACACCGTTCTGCTGAGGTGTATATGGACACGTCTTATGTCTTTTAACCCCTGATTCTCTGCATAGCTTATCAAACTGGTTATTGCAAAACTCTAACCCATTGTCTGTTCTCAAACATTTCAGGTTCTTCCCAGTCTGGTTTTCCACAAGTATCTTCCAATCAACAAACTTCTGGAAAGCTT